TGACGGAATGCATAGTTGATATAAAAAAACTGGATGACGAGTAATTTCTTACTGCTAAGTTCTGAAAAAAAAAAAACAGAGGTGTTAATTATTGGACCTAAAACTTTCGCATGTAATAACCTAGAAGACTGGTTCCCAACCCTGGTCCTGGAGGCACCCCAACACTGCACATTTTGCATATCTCCTTTCTCTGACACACCAATTTCAGATCTTGGAGTCTCTACTAATGAGCCGATGACCTGAATTAGGTGTGTTTGATTAAGGATACATGCAAAATGTGCAGTGTTGGGGTGCCTCCAGGACCAGGGTTGGGAACCACTGATATATAACATCGCTGGCATCTATCATCCAGGCACATGAGTTTTTCCTACCACTGCTGTGCTAATGACACACCGCTTTAACTCATTCTATATGATCTGAGCTATGCTATCCACAGTAATTTTATAGCTTTTGCCATATACTCTTACTTCGTCAGTAATTGTCTTCTTTATGTCCATTTATATTTTTATGAGGATGTTTATGAGAAACATCTGAGATAAAGTTGATACTTGCAATAAACATAACTGATCTCTCCTGAGCCGTGAACAGCATCTGTAAAAAATAAATAACATTGCTTTGGATACTGTACTGGTGTTTAAGGTGTGCAGTCTTCTGTAACAAGTTCAGGTTTGAGGTTGTTATGCCACTCTGTGTTTGTGTGTGAAAAGCACAAGGAAGTACAAATGTGCGTTTTCACAGAAGTGTGTGTTTTTAACCTTCTCATTTCACACAGGGGAGTAAAACACACTCACACATCCCTGTAAGAGTCTGGAAAAACGAAGCACTGCTTGGAAATTCATGGAAAATGTGGAAAACAAATTTTATTCATATCCACATGCCACAGCAGGACTTCCTGCTTACTGAAGCATTAATATTTCTCACGTTCATTTTACACTTAATTAGTGATGTTTAAGTCGGGCATCACTATTGCTCATACTTGTGGTTAGGCATGATGTTCACTTGACACTTGATTTGAGCAATTAAGCGACCACCCAGATGCCTTAGTATCAAGGTGGTGAGTTTTTCCATGGATGCGCTCATTGTTTTCAGAAAATATAACAATCTAGTTTTCCTTCCTGTTTTTGTTCTTTGCAAGTGTAGGCTCAGCTGCATTTATGATTTTTCCATCCAATACAGAGATGTGCTTTTCCTCTCTTCCTCTGGTAGCTGCCAAACATGTTTGGAAGTCTGAGCTCCACTGTGCTGTCACTGATGATCGGCTCCTACGCTTCATCGGCTGTCACCTTCCCTGGAGTCAAGGTATTTTTTTGTGTAAATAAAGGTTAAACCTGTTTGACGTGTACAGTGTGCTCGGAATTAAAGCCTCTGATGAAATGTTGCATCAGATTGAATGAAACTGAACTCATCACCTTAAACTGCTATAAAAGCAGTTAAGCTAAAGGTTTTGAGCTATGATTATGTACAATCAAATATAAATTCATTTTATTTCAAAGACGTCTGATGTTATAATATTAGTCTAAAGAGTGAACATTGGTGTTTTCAGAATAATTTCTTTCATCAAAATTAAGATCATGTGTAAGATAAGTGTTTTATGTTGAGTGTAGAATTCATTGCCACGGCTGCATTCATTATTCAAAAATTCTGTAAAAACCGTACGATTGTGAAATATTATTACAATTTAAACTGTTTTCTATTGTAATATGTTAAAACATGATCAAAGCTGAATTTTCAGCATCATTACTCCAGTCTTCAGTGTCACGTGATCCTTCAGAAATCATTCTAATATACTGATTTGCTTCTCAAAATACATTTCTGATTATGATCAATGTTGAAAACAGTTGTGCTGCACAATATTTTTGTGGAAACTGTGATACATTTTGTTTTTCAATTTTTTTTTTGATGAATAGAAAGTTCAAAAGAACAGCGCTTATTTGAAATGGAATCTTCTGAAACATTCTAAATGTCTTTAATTTCACTTTTGATCAATTTAACGCATCCTTGCTGAATAGACGTAATTTCTTTGGGGAAAAAAAAATACTTACACACCCCAAACCTTAATGATAGTGTACTGTACATGTTGACCTCTTTTAATATGGGCAGTGTCACTGTGTCTGTATGACTGTAAAGAATAGATGATATTAAGGCCATGATGTTCTACCGTCAACCAGATGCTGCAGACAAGCGAAATCTTTTTTTTTTTTTTTTTTTTTCGCCTCATCCATTATTCCTTCCGGGGGCAGGGGGTTTGTGACATGACATTGACAGGATATAATGTTACGTTTATAATAAAATTTAAATATGTTTTGATATATTAGTCATTTATAATAAATGACTAAATGTAAATGTAATGTAACTGTTGTTTTTTTTACTACAACAATTGGAATAAAACACTTACTTAAAAAATGTAATATTTTATTTGTTTACCTGTATGTCATTTGTAGGTTATATTAGAAAGGAACATTTAAAAGATGAAAAAGAGGAATTAGAGAATTGATAATTTATTGCTTTTATATGAATAATATGAAATCACGTAATCGATAAAGTAACTGCAGTCTGATTTTAATAGTACTTATTTTTTGGAATCTGATTACATAATCCAGATTAGCATGTAATCCTTTAATATGAAGACTGCAGGAAACAGTCTTGATTTCTGAACAATAATTCCTTTTGCAACCATTTAGTAGGAAAAAGATGCATTCAACCGAAAACCACAAACTATGGTCTGAAGAGGCGACGGGAGAAGCCGAGAAACTGCCGGCTGTAGCTCAGGACGCACAAGGTGAGACACCTTGAGACGGAGTGATACATTTTGATGCCGTTTGTTACGGTTGTGTGAACGTGTAGCTGATGATGTGAAATATAACGTACGAACTCCTGGAAATCTGTTTCTCAGCTTCGGTCCCGTTCCGGCGCTCCGTGTTCTCTCCCATCTTTTTGTGGAGTCTGGTCACTATGGGAATGACTCAGCTGAGAATCATCTTCTTTATGGGAGCCATGAACAAGATGCTGGAGTTCCTGGTCATCCACGGAGAGGAGCACCGTAAGCCCAGCTACAAAACCTAGACCTTATCACTGTATTCATTAGGGCTGGGTAAAAAATATAGATATCTCGATATTAATCGATTCTCATTTTTACAGAACGATCTCGATTCTTAAATCCCAAGAGTCTATTAGTCTAGCCTGTTTTCAGTTAATGGACGGAACGTTGAAGGGCACTTATCATCCAATATATCGCAATAAGCATTGTGCTTTGGTACTTTTAATATGAAGCAAAGTCTCAGATTTCAAATTCTGTCCATTGTATTGCAGTATTTAAACAATTAATGCCGTTTTAACGCCTCAGTGAACTGATCATCTCCTCCACTTTATTACTAGTTATAGCACAAAATAAACATGACTAAACATCCGAAGGTAAGTTAAAAGAAAGAGTACAACTTTACAATCTGTATCCTGTCTCATGTAATCACTCAATCAGTGTTTCAGCCGCGCAAAGACGTCAATATAACGGCTTGTAAACAATGTCACGTAACGTCACATTTACCTCAGAAAAACATATTCGTGACCATAAACTCGTTAGTCAGCCAGAAAAATCAACTGTAGAGAGGGGCATATTGCTAAATATATGCACCATATAACATCTTCCTTATAATTTTTACTGTGCTTCAGTGTTTAATTTATGTTTCAATAAATACATCAAGTGTTATGACCGCCACCATTTAAATGTTTATTATAAATGGTTACATTTAAATAATAACTTTATTATTTAAAAAAATGTTAAAAGTGTAATTTTAGCAGTTGTGTAGCCTACAAATCAGTTTTAACCTTCAATATTATAGTAATGTAGCTACTACCAACTGACTCTCATGTATGTTTTACAGCATTATTTGAGAGTTTTTTTCCCTTGAGAAAATTTGGCATGTACTGTACCTGATATATATATCCAAAATAATCGATATTGAATCGAATCGAATCGTGAAATTTGTGTCAAAACCCAGCCCTAGTATTCATTCACGCTGCTCTCTGTTCAGCTGACTCATAATGCGTTTCTGTCTCATTTAGCCTCTAAAGAACTGGTGCATGAGGCTGAGGAGAAAGGTGAGATGACCCTTTGTTAGTTTAATAGTCGTAAATGTAATTGTGAATGAAAGCGAGAACGTTTCAGGGCAATCTGAGCATGATGAATGCATGCATTTGATCTTCCAGTGAGCTTCTACTCGTCCGTCTTTGGCACGCTGCAGCTCTTGTGTCTGGTCACCTGTCCTCTGATCGGATACATCATGGACTGGAAGATGAAAGAGTGTGAGGTGGATCAGAAGACGGTGCGCTGGGGAGAAAAAGAGTAAGAAATTCAAGTTCTTCTGCTCTCAGTAATAACACGATTAGGTAACACTTTATTTCAAGTGTCCTTGTTACACATTACATGTACTTACTATTATAATACCAATTAATTATGCATAATTACATGCAAGTAACCCTAACCATATTGTGACCCAGGACCACAAAACCAGTCATAAGGGTAAATTTTTCTAAATTGAGATTTATGCATCATCTGAAAGCTGAATAAATAAGCTCTCCATTAATGTATGATTTGTTAGGATATGACAATATTTGAAAATCTGGAATCTGAGGGTGCAAAAAAATCTAAATATTGAGAAAATCGCCTTTAAAGTTGTCCAAATGAAGTTCTTAGCAATGCATATTACTAATCAAAAATTAAGCTTTGATATATTTACACTAGGAAATTTACAAAATATCTTCATGGAACATGATCTTTACTTAATACCCTAATTGATTGCACTGTATTTTATGTATAATAATTTTCTACTGTTAACTGTTTTAATTCATTTTAAATCAATTTTTAAATCATTTTAAAAGTTTTTAAATTTAAATAATATTACATTTTAAATAATTTTTTTAATGATCATTTTACTTTATTTTATGTAAAGCACTTTGAATTACCATTGTGCATGAAATGTGCTACATAAATAAACTAATGATTTTTGGCATAAATAAAAATCGATAATTTTGACCCATAGAATGCATTGTTGGCTATTGCTACAAATATGCGACTTATGACTGCTTTTGTGCTCCAGGGTCACATATAGTAAGTACATGTAGTTAATTAATATTACTCAGTACTTAAATATATAATTACACTATAACAATGACACCTTAAAAGAAAGTGACAAACCATATTTTATATGTAGAAGCAACTGAACAAACGATCTCCTGATGCTTCTGTGTGAGATCATCTTGACGTCTTGTCTCCTGCCAGAGCTGTTTCAGTACCGAAGCGTGACAGAAAGATCCAGAAGCTGACCAATGCCATGAGAGCCTTCATCTTAACTAATGTGCTGCTCATTCTGTTTGGTGTGCTCTCACTCGTAGACAACCTGCCTCTACAGGTAACAACCTGATTAAACTCAGTCAAGTCACCTTTATTTCTATAGAGCTTTGTGTAGTGCAGATTGTGTCAAAGCAGCTTTACAGTGTTAAACAGGAAAATACAGCAGCTCTAAAAAGAGGACAATAGCAAACAGTCCATTTTTTTTAAGTCATTGTTGATTCAGTTCGGTTTAATAACTGTGTAAGGATAATGCATTATGGAATGAGTTTAATTCATCTATAAAGCTGCACTGGAAGCAGACTTAAGTAAAACATATTGTCAGTTGTTTGATTGATTTTTCCAGTATTATTGCATATACAGTTCGAAAGTTAAGTTATAAAAAAATATATTTTTGAAAGAATACTCTTATGTTCAGCAATATCACGTTTATTTGATTAAACATACAGTAAAAAAAACTGTAACTGTTTTCTATTTGATTTTTTTTTTTTTTTTTTTTTTTTTTTTTATTGTATAAATAAAAAGAACTTTTTGG